GAGGGTGATGGGGCGGCGGCTGTGTGGGGTTGCAGGGTGGTCGGTGTGTGAGGACGATGGGGAGGCCAATACAGCTCAGAGCAGAGGACGCTGATGTGCGCAGGCACAAGAGCGTGCTGCGCCCGGGTCAACCTATCACACAGCCGCTGCACTCTGCACCGCGCAATGCGGACTCTTTGTCCACTGCCAGGGCCGCACCGAGAAGAGCTCTGGCCAAACAGGCGTCGCGGGTTTGATGGCTGCCCTCAACTTGTTCGACAATGCGTCCAGCCCCACCGCTGCCGACGGTCCATGGCCGCTGCCTCCCTGTGCTGCTAATATGGCCTGCCGCTGTTGGGGCACTGCCGCCAGCACTGAGGTCGCCAGGGTCAGGCACGCCACCATTGAGCACAGTACATATTCCCGGCTGGAAGCCATGTTGCCCGAGTGCGTGCAATCCACCGTTCGTGACGCGATGCTTTTAGTGTGAGATCGAGCAGCGCTCAGGACAGTGCACAGGATGGGTTCTCCACATCACAATGTTTACCCAATCGATGAGGCGCAGGGGTGGTCTGTGCAGCAACGATGGTGCTTTCATGCACGCTGTGCTGCTGAGCTGCCGCCGTCATTTCGTATTGGTGCACCTGCCGCATGGTCGTGCTTCGCAGGACAGAGAATGATGGAAGATTGGTGACATTCTCTGTTACATTGTTAGTGGTCGTGTCGGCCGTGTGACGGCGGCTTGAGACACCGCCTCCAGCCGTCACCTGAGCGATCCGCCCGCCACCTGGCCTTCCGGCCACCTCAGCTGAACTGCCCACAACACAACGACCGTTGTACATTCTTGCTGCCTGTTCACATCATGAAATACTTTACAATGCATGGGTGCGTGGTCAGAGCGGTGGTGATATGTAAGTGCTCTGAAGCAGTATAAATGCATTGAAGCACAACGGCTACCAAGCAGGCCACAGTGCCGGTAAGGATGCCATTTCCTCCTTTTCTGCACCCTCCACTAACAATAAGCCCAATTTGGATATGAAGACATTACAACAACATTGACTGCACAGGTGATGGACTCACCCGGCACCTAACTGGATGCTCTTTCGCCGGCCCGACAACGTTGGGCCCGCATGTGCGGCAGGACCAAGGGGACGAAGGTTACTCATCGAAAGTGGCACCCAGCCAGGTGTGTTTTCAAAACGGCAGCAGTGGGCCGCTACAACACCAGCTAGTGCGCATCGACGAATGTGACACACCACAGGGTGTAAATACTTGTGCCCAGCGTGGGAGGCGCGGCCTGCCCGCGACCTCCGCCTGCACCGCAACTCAGCCGGTCGGCCGCGCTGACCTGCTGCAAAGCAAACACGACAGGGGCCCGGCACTTCCAGTACCACAACAGCAGACATGGAGGGCGAGAGTCAGAATTGTTGAAGGAAAGAAACCAATCAGGAATATTATGGAAAATTGAGTGGGCTTGGGATTGAGAACAGACAAGTACGGGAGGCAGCAACTGGGGCGCACACGCGCAGGGCGCAGCGAGCCTGCCTTGACCATTGCGCTCGCACGTCAAGCAACCAATAGGTGAAATTGTCACATTCGATGGCTCGAGTCTCCAAACCAAAACAAAACATGCTGCTGCTGCTGCTGCTGCCGCCGCTGCTGCTGCTGCTGCCGCTGCTGCTGCTGCCGCTGCTGCTGCTGCTGCTGCTGCCGCTGCTGCCGCTGCTGCTGCTGCTGCCGCTGCTGCCGCTGCTGCTGCTGTTGCCGCCGCTGCTGCCGCGGCTGCTGCTGCTGCTGCTGCTGCCTCGTGGGCCGCATTTCTGCCAACCTTGCGAGTTTTGGCTGCGTCAGGGGCGCCCTCAAGCGGACCCGCAGCCGTGCACTGGTTGGCTCCAGGCTGGCAGCTGCCGACAGGAGGTTACTCCCCTGCACGTCTGCAAGCCATGTACTCTGGAAACGCCGCAGACGCCACGCATTTGCGGCCAGGCCCGCAGTGGGCGTCCTCCTTGCAGAAGCACTCGCCGCTCAGCGCGCAGCGAGGCCCGTAGCGCGGGGCCGCCCCTTTGATGATCTTCGTGAACATAGGGGGCTCAAAGATCCCCTGCGGGTCGACGCGATCTTTGATCTCCAGGAACTGGTCAAACTTTGGGTACAGTGCGCGCACCGGGCAGTCCGGGTGCGTAAATGTGCGGTGGTGGTTCTTGCCCCAGTGGGGGTGGCCCATGTACCTGCAGGGGGGTCGGGAGTTTTTGTGCATGACGGGGCTTAGAACAAGGTGGTTGTGTGTGCAAACGGGCTCATGTGTGACTAATGCACTGCGAGTTGCAGTCACGTTTCTCCCACAACCCCTGCTTATGTATACCGTAGTCCTGATGAGCCCAACGCCGCGGACTCTCTGCTACTGCGACCTGCTGACCCCTCCACCCTGAAATTTCCCCTCAATCATGCACGTCTCATTTCCCCATGTACATCCCACAGGGTGCAGCCCAACCAGCCAAACACACACACACACACACACACACATGCTCACAAGCACGCACGTACGCGCGCACACACACACACACACACAGAGAAAACAAGCAAGCAAGCACATGCACCCACGTGCGCGCGTGCTTGCATGTAGACACGCGCGCAATTTGTGCGTGAGCACGTCCACCGCGCCTCAGCAACGCTCACTTGCAGAGCGTCAGCTGCTCCAGTGTCTCCAGGACGTGGCCGTGCTTGATGCCCCATCGCGGGGCTGTCGCCTTTGACGTCATGAAGCTCATCTGCAAGTTCACGGTGCCGTTCAGCCCCGCCGTCGGGTTTATGTAATCGTCGCTGCCGGACCCGAACCTCAGCCAGAAGTAGCCGGGCGGCAGGCATTTGCCGCGGTGGGCCTGCCCCGGCTTCCAAAAGTCCTTCTCCATGACCGCCCGCACGTCTTCCATCCAAGGCGCCAGGTTCCTGATGTCGGTGGTGAAGTGCGTGTCCCACATGGCCAGGTTTGCCTCATCGGCCTCCCAGGCGCACTGGTCGCCGCAGCTGACGGACTGCAGGTAGTTGGTGCCGCCCACGCCGCTGCGCAGCACGCGGCCGGCGGTGCTGGAGGCCCAGCCGTGGGAGATGGAGACCTCCTTTGAGACCATGCACATGACCTCGTCCAGCACCCGCGGGGGAGATGCGTACTCCTGGGTGGGTACGCGGAGTTGGTTCCAGCATCATGTAGGGGCCAGCATTATGCAGGGCCTCATGAGGGTGCATGAACGCTGTTGTTGTGTTAAGGACACAACAGAAAATTCTTGAGCCATCAGCATCCACAAGCAAACACACCGCAGCTGAGCGGCTCGCAAAGAAAGCATCCCAAACCACCCTGGAGCTTGAACACTGTCGCCTGGTTGAGACGCAGCCCCAACTCAAGTACAATATACGTCGAACCCACCTCCCATGTGCGCAGGGTTGTGCCCATCGCGCTGGCTACAAACGCCGGCAGCTCGATGGTCTGCGTCGCGCCAGTGTCCGGTGTGCTGAGCGGCACCTGGCGTGTTGAGATGGGATGCGGATCGAGGTTGCTTGAAGATGTCGTTTTGATGGAAGATCGACCGTGCCGCTCCCCGAGCACACCAATGCACCCCAAGGCAGGGAGACTGGTCCCTGCCAACCACAACTCCTTGAGTCTGCCCCAATTGTCCCCACCTGCACCCCATAACACCCACAGCACACAGGAACTTATCTCGATCAACACTTTGCTCGTTCCCAAACCCGCTATGCCCAATGCTGTCCTCCTCTTGCTATGACTTATTCCCATGCCATCACTACCTCCCTCCCAACCCCGCAAAGCCGCACCGCACTCTGCACTTCACTGGCCCGCGCCGTACACACGTTAAACCCTTGACTCCCTTCTCAGCACACCCCGCCGCGCAAGAATCAAGCCCACCTCACGCAGCCGCACTGCATTGTATCTGTTCATGTCCGGCCGCCACACCACCAGCATGTGCGGCGTCTCCTGAAGCATCTCCAAAATATCAGTCGCGATCGAGGCGTCGCTCTTCTTCCAAACGGTGTCAAACCTCGTGTTGCTGGCCGGCGTGAGCTGCAGCGTGACCTCGGTGACGACGCCCAAGAGCCCCAGCGAGCCGACGATAGCGCGGCCCTCGGGGCTGTCGCGTGTTGAGCGGACGACGGCGCCGCTGGCGTCGACCCAGGTCACGCTGAGCATGATGTCGCTCTGAAGTGGGGTCCGAGGTGCGGGGTTTTGGGGTGTTTCTTTCAAAGGTGGGTAACGACAGCGTGTTTCGGCATCCTCCAAGAAACCATCTGCTGGCGCGCGCTGGCTCCTTTAGCACAGTACACCCGGTGCTGCTGGCGACCTCATCCGCACACTCGGCCCCAGCTCCCACTTGGGTCCCCTCACCAGCCCCCCCTGCCCCAGTCGCCAGCCCCCCATCGAGGCCTCACCAGGCAGCTCTTGCCCCCAAAGTTGCTGCCGTGCGCGCCGGTCAGCATGACACCGCCGACCATCAGGTCCGCAAACGCAGGCGGCGAGCCCAGCGGGACGCTCATCCCCTGCCTCGCCGCCTCGTCGAACAGCTTCTTGACCTTCATGCCGGCCTGGATTGTAACCTGGTTACGCTCCCTGTCAACGGCCAGTGTTCGGTCCATCCGGTCAAGAAGGACGCCGACCGTCCGGCCCGCGGGGGCGCCGAACGGGGAGGCAGAGGGGGCGCCGGGCGCGAAGATGTCGGTGGTGTTACCGGGGCAGGCGAAGGCCGTCGTGCTGTGGAAGAACCTGGTCGCGTAGGGAAGGGGTGGGGGCGTTCAGCGCGTACCAGCGGTGCGGGCGGGAGGGAGGAGGGCCGGGCATGGCTGCGTGCGAGTAGGGCGGGAACAGCAGCGGGCCTCGCGGCTCTGCTGCGAAGCGGGCAGCATAAGCTTATGTTCTTCTGCCACGGCCACTTGCTGCGCAATGCCAGGCCGTCCGGTGGGCAGGATGTATGCGCCAGCCTCCAAAAGGCAGACAGCGTCACCCCTCTGCAGGATCATCCTAACCCATGCACAACAAGCCTGCGTAGTCGTGAGGCTCACTTGTGCGTCGCCCGCACTTTCAGCGACTGGCCTGCTTCGTCCGCCATGCGTATTTGGTCCCGCAGCATAGTGGCCAGCTCCTCGGTCGAGTTGGGCTCCAGCAAAGCCGTCGCTTGGCATGCCAAGTGCCCATACGCGGCGCCGTATGCCTGCCGCGCAATGGGCTTGGCCTGAGGGTGTGCGCGAGGCGCGCAGCAAGGCATCAAACGCGAACTTGCAAGGTGAGTGCTGCGCAGCTGCTGCCGCTTCTGCTCTGCAAGGATCCCCCAGGCCGCTTGCAACGGTAAAAGAAGTTAGACTAGCTGTGCTGTGCGCCAGAGCCAGCTGTCCCCCCCATGCCGGTCCAGGGGTCCGCGCACACCTGCGACAACAGGCTGCAGTGCCCTGCGACCAGCAGCGCCGTCGCAATGGCAAAGCGGCGTACAGCGGCGCTGCGCTGCATCCTGAGTGATTTATGATGCATTTCAATACTGTTACGATGCGCCTGCGCCTGTATGCCCCGCAGCTGAGGCCGGCCTCTACGTCGAGATCGCTGGCAACGCAGCTAATTTGGTCTGAGATAGCATTAAACTCATTCTACCCGTGTTTCATTACGTTGAATGGCGCTCGTGGCGCGAGTCGTGCGGAGCGAGAGCCAATGTAGGTAGGCGTGTGCGCTCGCCGATGTTTTATTTGGGTCACAGTCAATGACAGGGCGTCAAAACTGTCTGCATGTATGCATTCAATGTTTTTGATCACTGTAATATGGTCTTAGGGTAGACCGGCGCGTGTCGCACAACGATCGATGATGATGCCACTCGCAACTACAGCGCACGCGTGCGAACATTGTCAAGATCCCGTGTGATCGGTTAGTTATGTGTTCGGCCTTACACCAGGCTCCGTAGCTGCTCACCGCGCATGTCGGGCTGGGTGCGCTATCGCTCGGCCGAGCACGCAACAAGTCGCACCTGCCGACGGTGATGCCTGACGGCCAGAAGAGCCTTGCAGTTGCAGAGGTTTACCTATATTTCTAGAAGTCAAAGATGGCCATGGAAATTCATTTCAATTACAAACCAGCAAACACCATGCGGATCCTGCAGCTTGCAGTGCGACAGCGTGTGCAGCTGGGGTGCGCAGCTTGGGGCATGCACCTGCAGCTTGGGGGCAGGCACCATCATACCACACACATGACTAATGGATCAATCGGATCAAGACAAGCTCACACAGCAGTCCACGAATCGCCTGAAGCCCTGTTGCAGGGCCACTTTCAAGATCCAGGCAGTTCATTGCAGTAACGCAGCTGGGTGACCTTGGGCCGGCCAGGAAACAGAAAGCGGGGTTTGAAAGCGCAGCACGGTGACTGCCCAAGGCCATCTCGCGAACACGGTGTTGCAGGAACAACAATGAGCAAGAAACAGGCACAATTGCGGCACCCCAGTCAACTGCTGCAGCGCCACGGACATGGGTGGCTGAGCATGGCGTAATCAGTCTCAGGCAGGGTGACGAGCTTTATCGTTTCAACAGCGATTCAAAAAAGCACTTCTACCTATTAAGAGTCACTAAAGCTGGCGCATCAGCCGACCGCGCGTGTGGATTCACAGGGTATGGCAGGCTTGAAGGGAATGCACAGGGCGCGCCCAGCGGCTTGTAGAAGCTTGTGTGGGTCAAAAGCAAGACGCGACTTGCGAATCGGGGCTGTGGTGGGGGCGGTTGACCGTACACGTGTTGAAAAACCAAGCCAAACAGGCGGGTCTCGGCCGCCGCCGTGCCCCGTTACTCGACACCATGGCGCCCCCGTGTGAGCGGCTGCGTGCATGCGCCCCCGTGCACGACAGCACGCGCTTTGTGCGGCGGGTCTTCACGCGGCTTGTTGGCAACCTTAAGGACTGTCAGCTGTCAGCACCCCGGACAATCACTTGCCGATGGGGAGCAGCAGTCTCGCAAGGCCGCTGGGCTTGCCGTTGCGAGCAAGCTCGGGGTCCCAGTCGGCCGGCGGCTTGCAGACCTTGAACTCTGGCAACGCGTAGCTGGGCACGCACTTGAACTCGGGGGAGCAGTGCTCGTCCGTCTCGCAGAAGCACCTTGCGAGAGGGAGTCCCAACAAACAGGTGGGTACAGCAGGGGGTCAGGATTGGCCAGCAGTGGTCACGGCTGTTCACAAACCTGATCAGAGCCTTCAACTTGACAACCACCACTCTCGCCTGCTCTCTATGCCCCAAAGACGCGACCAAACAAGATTCGGCATCGCCCTGACAGGCAGCTCCGTAATCTGGCAAGAGCATCGCTCACTCATAGTCAGTGGCGCAGCCAGGGTAGTATTTGTAGGGCTCCTGCTTGACCAGCTTGTTCCACAGGGGCGGCGCAAACACGCCCTTGGGGTCAACCTTGTTGACCACGCGCAGGAACTGGTCAAACTGGGGGTACATTGGGCGCACTGGGCACCGTGGGTGCGTGAAGGTGCGGTCCCAGTTTTTGCCGACGTGGGGGCGACCCTTATACCTGGTGCAGAGTGGCAGGTGGGTGGGGG